GCGCTGTGATGACGTCACATACGCGCTTTCGTCGACCGCGATTTTGTCGTCCGCGGTTTTGTGGTAGAACCGCTCTGGAGTACGGTCCCCCAAACTTTTACACGGAGAATGCAAAAAAAAAAAAAAATGCATCTGCCAAGAATTCATGAATGAACGTCCAAATATATCTGAAGAGTTGCCAATTGCACAAGGCAATTCTTGTATGGTCTGTTTGGTCTCCTAAACCTTTCTGTCAATGAGTCTTATCAGCAGAAACTTTTCATACATTGCTCAGGAGTCTGCCCCTGAATAATGAAAAGCAGCTTTCACCAAGCTGACATTTTTCCAGAGTTGTTGAAATATAACTTGTCAGGCAATGCTTGTCAGGCAAGACTATCTCCCCACTAGGGCCCTCAGATCAGTGCTGCATAAATCCAAATTATCACTAGATGGCAGCAAAGGAGTTGGGAGAGGGGGTTTCCCTGAATATTTTTACTGCCATCTAGTGATGATTTATAGTTTTGCAATTCCCTAATTAGCTTTCTTCCATTTCCACCTATGTAAATACATGAGCACGTGCATGCATTTTAGATATAAATTGATTTCAAACACCTCATTCCGAGAACAGTTCAAACAACGTGAAATCTGCTTCCGTGCCTACTTTCTAAGCACACTAATTGATGCAAAAGTCAATCAGGGAGCCTTGCAGAGAAGACACACACTGCTTCCTGATTCCTTGAACTCTCAATTGCTGCAAAGGCAAACATGTTTATCAAGAGATTGGAGATCTGGGTGGCACCATTTAGGCTTGCTCTGCAGTTCTGAATCTTGCAAAAACTGTCCTCAATAATCACTTGATTATTGATGGGATACTAAACACCCAGACCAGAATCATCCATACACTGTCCGCTGCCAATTCACCCTCTGCAGCTTTAAATTGAGTGCACATTTTCTGCAGTTTTATTTGCACTGAGAAATTTACCCCCTTTAACTTTGCATAATTCTTCACCCATTTACTTAGTTTTCTCTGTATGTGAATAACCCTAAAAAGTCCCTTAGGTTGGAGCTAATGGTGGATTCAAGGTTACCATTGAGTCCCATAGCTAAATGAAGAACTAATCTTAAAGAATATGATCACTCTGTCTTTCCCTGTTCACAAATTGCTTCCTTGCCAGATACATATTTTGGTGTCCTGGTACAGTTTATGGTCCCATCCGCTAATTATTAATGACATGTTCAAGGATAGCTGTCAAATATCTGCATATTATCCAATTTTAGCATTGCCTGATGCTTTGCTTGATAAAGATCCCACGGGATTAGAAAGCATGCTGATTTTAAAGCACCCATAGCAAGTTCTCCACCCTCTACTTAGCAAATTTAGGCAGATGTGTCTAAACCAACCTAAATAGCCGGCGAACACAATTTCAAACCGAAACTTTAAACAGCCTGTACTTTTGTGAAAGTTTAGCTCATTCATTCCCCATTCCCCGTTTCAAAAACTTCTCGGCTGCTTTTCCGCCAAAAGCAAACTAAAAACAGGGTCTCGAAAATGCAAGGGAAAAGAAGCAGAACTCGGAAGCTTGCACAAAAACAGCAGGGACATTTTTACCGCCAAATTCCCATCACCCTGCCTCTCTCCTGCAAAAGCAGATACACCATTTCCTTAAATATAAAGTCATTTCCCCCTCTCTGCAGCCAGACAGCAGTTGTCAGGTTTTTTTTCTAGATTGTCTTATTTCACTGGCCGCGCCACGGAGTCAGGAGGAATGACAGGACATTTAACACGGGGAAGACCGAAGTTTGAAGTTTACTAACCTTGTGCCCCAGGAGAGGGAAGTGCCCCATTGTCCGTCT